CTTTCTAGAACTGCTTACAACAGTAAAAAAAAAAAAAGCAATCTCTTTGTCTTCTCTGTGGAGTGCACAGATTTTAGGGAGTAAGACAGATATGGACCCATAACTATGAAGTTTGAAGAGAGTTTTAAGGCTCTGCAAAGCACTTTAGAATCTGAAAACTGAGGGCTAGTAAATGTTGTCTAGCAAAGATTAGAGGGATAAGTGATAAAAACACTGCATGGAAAATGCACCAAAGAAAAAGAAAGATCTTAATGATGCCCTTTCTCTCCTTGTGCTCAGACCAGCCTAGTCCATTCAGCAGTTTATTGAGTTTCCCTCCATACCTGACTGTTCTGTTTTTATAACCATTTTCTGCAGACTACTCTGAGGTCTGTTTAGGGATCATATCCCATGATAATTCAGAAAGGAAGATGATAGTGTGTCTGTGTATTTTTTTTTTTTGCCATTGAATGTGACATATTTGGGTGCCCAATAAGCAAACACAGATGTGAATGAAGCTAAATAACGGAAGGAAGTAATGACGGAAAACTGAAAGTGAAAAGGCCAGGCAGCAGATTTCACAAATGATTTGAACCCCGAAGGTCAGAGCATATCAACCCTATGGTTGGGCTCCCACACAAATATCATATTACAGGAAATTTATACCGGAGAAGAATTAAAAGTGCACTAAAGGGTAGCCACGATCAAAAAGTCTTGGTATGGAGCAGGCTTAGTTACTAAGCTCTATGGAAAGAGACCACTGCGTGGCGTAAAGTGGTGTCCTGAGCCTCAGAAGAACTGCAGTTACATGGCTGGAAAAAAGGAGAGATGTAAGACCAAAAACTCAATGAACTATAGAAGCATTGGAACCAATCTGGTTCCATGTGGAGTAATTTGGGAAGTGATTACCAAAGTCAGCAGGGGATGCTGTACGTGTGCGAACACTAGAGAACTGGGCTGACGCTGAGACTCCAAAGTGCATGGCTGTAGTGAGTACCAACAGTGAGAAAGGAAAGAGAGCGCTCCTCTGTCTCCACTGCTTCCAGAATGCCTTCTTCTATTTTGGATAGTGAAGAAGAGGCTGTATCCAGGGCTGTTAGCAACATGACCAACTCTTCAGGGCTAATGAAAAATGTCCCCGATTGACAAACAGCTATGAAAGCCAGAAAGTAAAAGGAGGGCACAAAATGTGAGCCAGAGCATCCCTTCTCATAAGATCAAGAAATTTACAATGAAATCAACAGAACTATCTGGCCACTTAGCAAACACTCCTTCTCCTAGGCTATGAAAGGAAGAATTTTTCTTTTAAAATTAAGAGAATTGCATACACGTCCTAGAAACCCCTGCTCATTTACTGACTGTTGCTATTACCCACCTCGGCTTCTGTCCCCTGTATAACTTGTCTGGCTACTTGGGTGATGGTGGGGGAGCCCTTCCCAGCAGCTGTCTGTAGGGGAATCCTCAGTATTCCCTCCCTGGACCACAGGAATGGGTGCTTCCGCACAACCACCCTGGGTGATTGGATGACGTTCCTCAGTGTGAAACTCTGTCTCGCCACCCTTTCATTCATTCTCTCGCCAAATACGGTTGACACGCTGTCTGCATACCATGTACGTATTTAGAGATGCACATAGTGAGTGGTATTAAGGAGAAACTGTTGGTTAACACCAACTGAAGAGTTAGGCAGATCTGCAAAAGATGGCCTCTCCCCGCCATCACCCCAGCACCAGGGGCTTTCTGATTATCTCGAGGACTGTTCAACGACTCTTCAAACAAAAACTTGTTTTCAGTTTTAAAATGTGCTCATACCTGACTGCCTTTTAAGGGAGGGAGTAGGTGAGGCCGTAAACGAATATTTCAGGGCTTTCCAAACTTGCACGTGGCTTAAGTGGAGGCCAATTCTTATCACGGTCTTAGTGGCTTTGTTTCTAACTGCACCAGGCTGGCTGGTTACCGTAACTCTGGTCCTGACAGATGGATATGGGGTCAAACCCCAGGGCTGGAAGTTTGATTAGAGTACGGCCAAAGGAGTGTAGAAAAAGAAGCAGCATCAATGTATGTCATAATAAAAAATATTATGTTGTGGTTTTTTAATCATTCTAAATAAACATTTACTTTCTAATTTTGTATTTGTACTTCTGTTTTGTTTTCAAGAAACTTGCCCACCTTAATTGTGTCTGAACCTGGACCTGCCTCTGGTGGACGGACACGAATTCCTCTTTCTTGGCTCTGCTGCTCTCTAGCTATGAAAAGTCATCTATTTATTGCTGTTGTTATAACAATAATGATTATAATAATAATAATTTTACTTAATGTTTCCTTAAAGCATGCATAAGAATATCTTCAAGGCATGGCAATAGTCATCTATGGAAAAGTACTTGGCATGTTAAAAATAGTGTATTATTTAAGGCATGATTTAAAAAGCCACTAGCCCTCCTTACCTCAGTGTAGAACTGCACCTACTGCTTCAGCCTCAGAGGTTGCCTTTGGGACTTGTTGCTTGGCTCTGGAATTCTTGGTTATTTTTTAATGTATTTAAGCCCTGACTCACTACCTAATCCCAAACTCCTTCAAATGAATATTGAATTAATTACTTCCTTATAGATCTCTTTAGACCTCACCAAAACACTTTATAGAAGTGCTTAATAAATATTAGTGGAGTTGTTCAATTAGCTTGATTTCTAAGATTTTGCACCCTAATCAACCATTCACCCATCCACCCATCCATCCATCCATCCATCTGTCCATCAGCTGCTGTGGCTGAAGTAGGCTAGAGGACCCAGAGCCCAGTTTGGCTGGCTTCCTCTTGGCATCATTGGAGGCTTACAGCTCTGGATGGGAGTGGGGGATGTGTGCAGGTGGCTGTCCCCAGAACATCACTCTCCCAGGTGCCATGCCAGGAGCCTCTCCTCCAAAAGCTGTTGTTGGAAAGGCCAAGCAGCAAAGAGACAAATCATAATAACCTTGCCTGAAGGAGCTAAGGGAAGCTATGCAGAGGGGACCTCTTTTGAGGCAGGCCTTGAAGAACAAGGGGACATTCCAGCAGGCATAAAAAGTAAGGAGCACTCCTAGGACAGGCATCAGCACCCACAAAGGCACGGAGATAAGAAAGCACATGCCAGTGAAGGAGAGGGGATCCTCTGTGGCCCTGACACCGCCCACATGGAGACGGAGCATAGGCAGCGGCACAGCGAGAGCGTTGACTCTGTCCTAAATGTTGCTCTTTATTCTAAACTCAACGAGCAGCCACTGAAGTTTCTAAACAGGCTGACGTATCAGCCTTGCATCTCAAAAACAATATAGAGACACCCCATGGAGTCTGAGCTTTCAGAGTTGGAATCTTATACCCAGATTCCTAAATGGTTTGTCACTTGGTGTATGATGACAATGGATTTCTTTGGGATGATTCACAGAAGCCACCATCACAGATTCAGCCCCTCTGATGGTAATGGGCTGTAATCTGAAATGGGAAGCTTCTATAGTATCGAGGAAAGAGAAAGAAAGCATATTTGAAATACAACTCCCTTATGTTAAAAGTCTTCAAAAAAGTAAGAATTCCGGGACTACCATATTTGCTCTCTTTCTCTAACTGCATTTCTTCTAAACAATTTTCTGAGATTTCTCCACTGATTTAAGTTAGGATTTCACTGCGGGAACCCTTGAGTTTTAGCCAAACATAGATGACTCTTTGGATAATACTGTGCACAGTATGATGGAATATGCCTACGTTTGTGTATCTAAAAATGATTAAGAAGTTCTGTCCTGAATGTGAAAACCAGAATGAAACGATACACATTAGGCACAAAGCAAAGAAGTAAAGTACCACCCGGAAGGCAAAAAATATGGGTTCCCCATAGGCATATCTGCAGTTCTATCAAAAATATGATAAGGCAAAAGAGCTGCTTGCATTAAGACCCACGTCTCTGAATCCTCCAGAATGCAGCCACCAGTCAGGTGTGGGGAGACCCAGCACTTTCTTGGGCAGATCCTCAGTTTAGAATGGCGTTCCCAAAGAGCAGAAATGTTAATTATTAACCTCTATGTGGAGCCCCACATTAAGAGTTCATATTTGTAAATGCTTTTCAATCCTCAGATAAGCTGTTTTCTCTACCAGCGCTCCCTCAGTAACTCCAAAACGTTTTTCTTTTTTCGTTTTTTTTTTTTTTTCCAGTTGAGACCTGGGGTGGGGGTTGTGTTTGAGGAGGAAGAGAGTTAGAGAGGTCCTCTCTACCTGGGAAAATGCTAATTTCTGTTTTTTAAGAAAATAGGCTAAAAAAAGGCTCAAGGGAGTGTAGGACATCAAAGAACTCTTTTAAAACAACTTTTTCGATGATTTAAATGAAAATGAGGCAGACATATATGGATTACATTTTCCCTTTAAAGCAGCCTGAGGTTTAAAGATTAAGGGGAAGAGAGACGGAGGTAAAATGTATTGGAGTTTGTTATCAGAGTTTCAACTAACCTGAAACCAAGTGCATTAACCCGTGGTGTGGCCGCGCGCGTCCCGACACGCTTGGCCACGCTGCGCGAGCGCGCATGCGCGCACACGGGCGCCACGTGCCCGCGAAGCGGTCCCTGCACAGCTGATGATTTATGCAGCTTGCCAGCAGAGAAGTAGGCCGCGCCAGCCTTGACAGCACTTTAGTTTGGTTGTTTTTACTCATGAAGGACATGTTGTCCTGTAATTATTCTGTCATTTCTTAAAAGGTGAAATGCTTAACAGGTTTGTACTGCATGTGTTGCTGTAAGTGTCCTTGTCAGAGCACGTCTATGCGAGCTGGAATCCCCTTTCCACAGCTCCTTTATGAGGAACAAAGAGGAACTGGACATTTTAAAATGTGTTGAAGAATCTAGAGAAAAGAGTATTAGTTGGGGAGGACATAGATCAGATACAGAAAAACCGCAAACAACATTCCCGTTTCCTCTTTGGGCTCTCAAAACACCGACAAAATACTTTTCGTCATTAGCTCTTTTCTTTTTCTTCCTCTCTCCGTCAACAAACAAGTATAATTCCGTATCTGTATGTGATAACAGAATAGGGTAGGACAAAAATAGCTAATGTTTAACTCAGAGACAAAATGAAACACATACAACTCCAACCAGTGTAAATGTTAGTTATGTTTTAATACTTAGGAAAGTCCAAAGGAGATGCTGGCATTGATCAGGTTAGTTATTTGTTCTCTTTATTACTGATAAAACTTGCCAGGTTAGTGAATCGAAAAAGAAAAGTCTTCGAGCCTCAAATAATCAGGAATTTTACCATTTCAAAGATCAAATGCAATAGGAATGCAGCCTTTTTTTCCATATCAAAATTAATCTTTCAGTTTGAAAGATCTTACTGTGAAATGTTGTAGGGCATTTCTGGGCCAAGTCAGGATGAACAGTTAGCAGGCTTATCATCAGCTTAAGAATGATGTTTTAATTTCATGAATTGTGAAATGACTTGCCTTCCCTAAGTCCACAGGAAAGTCAGATCAATAGGTTAGATGTCTGTGCATGATACAGCTTTGTAGGAATATGAAAGCAGAAGTCTAACCTTTGTGCATGATATAGTCAGGTACTTCCTGGTGAATTCTCAAGAGTAAGCCTCTTCTAAAGGTTCTTAAGCCATGGTCATTAAACACAGCTACTCATTCACTCAGACCAGCCCGCAACAACACAAGCACTGGTGACCCTGTCAGCGACCTGCCCTCTGCCAGGGCATTTGAATAATCAAGCTCCCCTTCTTAGCCTCTAACCTCTATGCTATTGCTCAGAAATCTCTTTTAACTGGAACTTTTGAAAATGTGACCTGAAACCATCATGGAAGTCAAAGCTGAGACAGCTGGTGCGTGATGGCTCACAGCTACAGTGTTGTTTATGTTTGGAGTCCTTTCAGATTGTCCATGGCATCAACGTTGTTGGTTAGTGTTCTTGCCAAACCGATCGTTACCTGTTTTAGATATTACCCTTGAATGGCTGCATAGTGACTGCTGTCTGGAAATCCCCACGTCAACGTCACTACCTCTCCATTACCACTGCCAACGACTTGGTTCAGGCCCTTGTCGTATTTCACAAAGACTATGGCAGTAGGTCCTGAAACGGCATGAGATCAGCTGGGTTCACCGCGGGGTACAGATTGCAGACCAGGCAGGCAAGGCTGCCCACTGGGGCTTTATTATGATGATAGGTTTAGAACCTTCAAGAAAAAAACAAAAATGGATTTAGGGAAGACAGATACAAAGAGGAGTTTGGGTTCAAGAAAGATAGGCCAATGTCAGAGGAAAGAGGGGATTCTGAAGATGAAAGCACGCACGTACTTAATGTCCTCCGGCCAGCCTCTTAGCCTTCTGTCTGAGTCCCAGGTGGCTGTAGGGAAAAAAACAAAAATTAATTTCATTTCAGTCTCGGCAGAGCATTGGAAGGACAGCATTTGGCAACATTGATTTTAGCATCTTCTGCAACCACGGGAAGAGGAGACTTTGCAGAGACCTCAGCTCCATATGTAGTGTTGGTGGGGTGTCAGTGGGTGGCCACAGGAGCAGCAGCCTTTGGCTCTTAACTGTGTGTTAGCCACAACACAGCCCTTTGGACATTGACAGCCATGAGGTACATGACCTCAGAGAGCCAGTGTTCTCATACATCCATTCCCTGATTCCAACCAGTATTATAATCTAATGTTATTGTTCATGTTATCTAATATACTGTTATTATCTACTATATTACAAGAACTAGGGGTTCTGGATACAGCAGTTTAAAAAAAAATCTACTTTTTCTGACCATTAAGTTCAGTGAGAGATATGTTTTCCCATCCCAGTTGGGTATACACACATACACATGTACACACAGCTCCACGTGTACTGAAACACAGTGTCGTGAAACAGTGCGAATCCTTGCCATACAAGACACTCGGATGTTTTCCACACCCAACCAATATGTTCTATTAGATTGTATCCTATATTCTTTTATTTGAAAAATAGGATAGTTAGGCCTGCTAAATTGTTGTATGGACCACAAATGGATTCTGACCCACAGTATGAACAACACTTTTCTTATAGGAATTACAACTGTTAATATTTATTAAGCATTTACTGAGTGTTAGGTACTGTTCCAAGTACTTTACATATAGTGCTTTATTTAGCCCTCATGGCTTGACTGCATTTGCTCACTTAGTAAGTGGGGGAGGCAGAATTCAGTCCCAGGCACTCTTGCTCCAGATTCTGCACATTTAAACGGGGAGGAAAGAAACAGTGAAAAATACAGCATAACCGAAGGGACTGGACCTTGGAGGAGACGACCGTGAGGACTCTTAGATCTATTTAGGAGAGAAAAATAGTGGGAGTGGTTTGTGAATAGTCAGAGAAATAATGCCTTGTGACTGTTACTGCAAAGCTATTTTTACTTTCAGGCTGTTACGGCCCAGAAAGTGCTGTCTCACTTCATCTCTGCTTTGGTTAGAGTTGAATGTTTTCAAAGCCAATCTGATGTTTTCATCCTCTGACTTCAGAACTTTGAATGGAGCTCCGGAGACCACTTGATAAAATCCACCAGCCTTGGTATGAGGTGTGTGTCCCTTTCTGGCTTAACCCTGACTACCCAACTGGTAGTCAGCCTCAATTCCCATCACCCCTACAATGATCGTGGACATGACAGACAGGACTTAGTACTTGGCAGTCACCAAACATATCATGGCCTTTCCCGCCTCCATGCTTTTGTATATGCTCTTGGTTTCTGCATATGCTTTCCCTCTTGCCTGGGATTCCCTTCTCATCTTCATTTACTGTGAAGTCAGTTCCTTGATCAGAGGCAATGAGATATGGAATCCCATGACAGTGGATAAAGCATTCTGTTTAGCTACAGATGGTAGTTTTGGCAGAAGCCCTGTGTGCAGGGAAGGCAAATCCATACTCAGAATCAGTGTCCATTCCAGTAAGAGTAAAGCATTGCCTCTTCTGTAATAAAAAGTAGTCCAGTGAACTCAACCAGGTGGCTGGATGATAACCCTAGAGAATGACATCATATCATGTCAGGGACTCTGTCTCTGATGCTGACATATTGGTCACTTAGCAATGGCTGAAGCCAGGTCAATGTTGGTGAACAAAAGTCTGAGTTGCTGTGTCCAGGTATAACCGCCATCCCTGCCTCCATAGCCACCTGGGTTACGAACCCCTTGGGCAATGATGGGGGTGGCTGAGGGAGGACACTTACTTGTACCCACAAGATGAGTCATCCCATTCACTTGGTCAATAAAATTCTCTTCTACTGAAGTCACCCTTTGGTGAATATTCACAAGGGACAAAAGTCTACCTACATACCTCTTCCTTAAATTTCCTTTTTGGTGATTTTCTAGTCATCCTTCTAAGTCTCCAGCCGTCCAACCAAACCACCGGCCACAGCTCGGAAATCTATATAGACCCTTACCGCTTGTCATGTCTCCTTCCAGTGCGTATCCAGGTGTCCTGCTCAAATGTCTGCTCAATGGTAGGATTTTCCTTCTCCGCTGTCCTTCAAAGATGTCCCAGAAAGGGACTGTCATGCTGCACCGTCCATTTCTGGGTGGTGCCTGAATACCGTGCAGAAATATCTGTAAACTGTGTTAGAGCTTTTTCTTCCTCACCAACTGGTTGTAGGAAATATATACATGTATATATACATGTAATTCAACCTCACTCGTAAATAAATTAATACAAGATAGAATAAAAATATCAGTTTTTGAACAGTTGAGCTGAATCTTACGAGGTAGCTGAAGTTGTATATAAATTAAACATTGTGTATCATTAAAACCTTTCCATTTCAAAAAGCACAGTAAATATAGTATCATTTCTCAGTAAGTTCAGCACAGCCAATTTTTTACCTCTACCACTGGGCTGGATAGTTCCTTTAGTTAAGCATCAGATAATATAGTTATTATTAGACAATTGGCTAGAAACCATGCTATAAGAGGTATGTACAATAACTTTAAACACCAGAGGAGCAACTTCAGAGGAAGATGCTAACCATGCGAGCAGCATGTGGTAACTGAGACCTTAAAACAGAAGAGCAAATTCACACTTTGATCTCATACTCCAAATAAATACATAAACATCCAAGCAAGCCAATCAGCCAGTCCACCCAGGGTAGGAATTATTTTCAAAACCATTTATTAAACTCTACTTCAATGATAAAACCTGTTTATTGAACACCTATCTTCTTCCAGGAACACACGAGGCTCTGGGGATAAATGGCTGGACAAGCCTTGTCACTGTTGGTATTTTACACCAAAGACAAAACACATATCTCTGCTCTTAAGGGGCTTGCATTCTGAAAGATATAAGGCATAATTATTGGCAGGGTTTACTGAAGCTCATATAAACTTAACTCCCTCTATATATCTATATATAAACATATATAAATAAATTATATACATCTTTATATATTAATGATAAAAGAGAAACATTACTTATAGCTGAGAATAATAGCATGCAGTGTTTATTGCATGCCAAACAATGAGACACACTGTTTTTACACATATTAGCCACTTAATAGTTATAGAAAATTTATGATTATTATTATCGCCATTAAGCAAATGAGACCATTGAGACTTCAAGAGATCACTTAACCAATGTCCCCAAACTAGTTTAAGATAGAGATGGAATTTCTGTTTGAGTCTAAATCTCATGTTCTTAGCCATCAAGCAAAGTTCTTACAAGTAGATAGCCAATGAACACTTCAGTCTCTCCACAGTAAGAACTTTGAGTTGACCCTTTTACCATAGTTATCCATCCACAACTTGTACAGTGTAAACAGTAAAAAGTGCTAGGTTCAAGTACCCACTTCTTTATTGCCTGGTTATGTGACCTTGGCAAAGTCTTTTAACCTTGCCCAAGCTCAATAACTTATTTGCAAATGGATTACATAGTAAGTAGTTTCTATTATTGGCAACTCTTAGATGTTCAAGTGTTCTACAAATTGAAAAGTTGAATCCAAATGTAAAATGACTGCCATATGCCTTCTTTGCAATGTCACAAGAGGCTAAATGAAAGTTAAAAATAGTGCCAATTTTGGAAATTCTCTGTAGTACTATTTTACCCAAGAATTATTATCATTCCCACTATAAAATATAAAATCAAAAGAAACCAACTCAAGAAAATCACTAATCCCTGAAAGAATTTTATGGGAGAGTTTGAAAGATCTCTGTCTGAAAGGCAAGAGAGTGAGGACCTATACAGATCGGCAGAGTGGTGTCAGCCAAGTCATTCAATATCCTCAAGTCTCAATTTCCTCCTTCATAAAACTGTGGGGTTAAGTCACCTCCAAGTGCCTTACAGGTTTGACATTCTATCAGTCAAACTTTCAGGATCCTCTGGCTGTGACCACTGCTTTTCACTTTACTCTGACCACACTGGAGAATCTTACAAAATCTTTCACCCAATTGATCTGAATGCACTTTAGTCTCAGAAACTCTAAAGACTGTGCGGTTTGCTTTGCTTTTCTGAATTGAATTGACCTCTCAAGCTTTGTGAATCGTATTTTTCACTGACTGCAACACCTGACTGCTTAATCCCTGGAAATTAATTGAGGGAATTTGAGTTTGAATTTCCCTGGCGTTACTGGTGTATGGAAAATCTTGTTACTTAAATCTCACTTTTGTGTGTTACATTGTAATTTTTAAGAGATCATCATAGCGGTCTCCTTTTTCTGTTAACAATCTCTGAAAATCCAAATGGGTTTATTTCTTAAATTGCTAACAACCTTACCCAGTCAGACAAATTATCAAGTATATGGACTACAGTTGAACACAAACTCATTTTATGTGATGAAGACAAGAAAAGTACAAAGACTTCCATTTTGAGAGTAAAACTGCCAGGGTGAATTACTTGAAATGCAGTTCAACATGATGAAATGCCATAAATTATACTGAAAATTTCTTTGTGTAGGTATTCAGCTCTGTATGTTTTTATTGATAAAAGCAGCAATTTCCCTTCTATCCCCTCCTTTTTTTTTTTTTTTTTTCATGGGGACCAACAAGTACCTTACCCTGGAAAAGAATCTGACTTCTATTAGCTGACTACAGCATCTGCACAAAAAACTCCTATTGTCTTACGCTAATTTTAGCAGAATAAAATGTCCCCCCCTGGCCCACCCCCAGGAAGGTCTGCCTGGTACCCTGCCTTGCATCCTTTTGGTCTCTCCTGTAAGAGCTGCTCAAGAGAACAAGTCACGCCCCTCAAGTTAAAAGCAGGGACCAAGGCGAAAGGAAAGGATTCTCAGATACAACATAACAAATGTACTGCTTCATAAAGATGCTTTTCCAAGCAAAAGTCTGGCAGAGCTCAGGCATCAGAACAGAAGGTAATACAGAGTTCTACCAGGCTGCGCTCAAAGCTCTCCATGCAGGCTGGATGACGCCCCACACGGTGCCCCCAACTGAGCATGCGTTCTGGCAGTCAGTCTCCTGCTTACGTTCTGCCATTTGATTTTCAGGAACTTGCTAGAGTATACAAAAGTATATATATATATATGTATATATATATGTGTGTGTATATATATATATATGTATATATGTATATATTTTAAAAAATCAGGGTTTTAAAGTTCCATATGCTTAGGCAGAGCCTTCGCTCACGAGTGGCCAGCCGCATTCCAAAGAGACCTGTTTGAAAGCTTGGGCAGAACTCTGCCGAGTCAGGGAGGAAAGGGCCTCGTTCCCTTTGCATTAGTCACTCGGTGAAAGATTAATCCTAATGAGCTCCTTTCCACAGGCAGGCACACCCAGGCTTTGCATTACATACCTACGATTTCTCAATATTTAGGCCAAAATGTGTACACTCAGATGCGGAGAGATATCGTGTTTCCAGAAACCATTAACTACGGTATTAACTGTAATAACTTAGTGAGGTTAAGGAATGAGGCCCAGCAGGGGGCTGTGCGGGGTTGCCGGGGAGGCCGTTGCTCAAAGCAGAGTAAGAGAATATGCTGATGGAATGGGGCTTTCAGAAAACAGAGCGAGAGGAAAAAGCCAGTCCCCCATCTTTTTGTCTTACCTGTTCTTCGCTGTCATCCCTTCCTCGGTGTCTTCGCTCAGTCAGTTTTCAGCAGGCAGTGCTGCTGGCTTACTTGATTCCATCAGTTAATGGTAGCCCCTGTGATGGGGTTTGATGTTTTTTACTCAAGAAGTCAGCATGGAGAGAGAACTTCCTGATACCTTTGTCAGACCCTGGGAGAACCATCACCCCAGGATGGCTGCATTTGACCCAAGCAGGTCCCACAGCGTCCGTGCACCACAATACACCTCCATGCCTACCTACCCACCCGCCCACGGTCAGGAGCTGGTGGAGAGGCCTGTTGTGGTGACTGATTTTCTAGGAGTTAAGAGTTTATGCCAAGCCAACCTTATTCTGCTGTGATTCTGAAATTAAATCTCATTTATACTCTATGACTGCTTTGCCTTATGAAAAGATTTCTTGAAATCTTATTTTTCTCACCTATCTCTTGGGACTTGTGTGACTATTGAGACTGAGAAGACACCAAGGTAAAGAAACTGGAAGAGACACAAAAATTGAGATAAAGTAAAAAGGGCATGTGACGCAGAGAGAAAATAAATCCAGTCAGGGATAGGATTCAATGTGACTTTAAACTTAATGAATTTAAAAATGAATGTTCATTTGATTGAATGCTGTATATAATCACATATACAGCACAATGCTGGTGGATGTCAACCTAACAAGCAGGTCATGAGGCATTCCCTTATTTTAAAAGGCTGACATTTTAGTGGGAGAAACAGACCAATAATATTTGTTACCATTACTTTTGTCATTTGTGCCAAACTTTGAGTGTAAACTCAAACAAGCTGTGTCACTTTTAACCCTTCCTACCGAAGTGATTAAGTACTAGTAGAATTAAAAATTAAGTAACTCTGCCCAAGATCACATAACCACTAAAGAGAGAATCCAGGAATCTTCTAACCTCAGGAATCATGTTCTTTACGATTATGATTTAGTGGCTGGCCAAGGATACAATGAATAATAATTTCAGCAGATTGGAAGAAAAAAAAGCTAAAAAGAGAGGTAGGAAAAAATTCTTGGGGAGAACAAAATAAGGATTTTTTTTAACATTTCTATATTGAGTTGTAGTCATTTTACAATGTTGTATCAAATTCCAGTGTAGAGCACAATTTTTTAGTTATACATGAACATACATATATTCATTACCACATTTTTTTTTTTTTGCTGTGAGCTACCACAGGATCTTAGGAAGTTGCTTGTCGAGCTATGACTGTTTCACTGCCTTCAAGATGTTACCAAGAGTCTAGACTGTCAGCTGAAGTGTTTGGTTGTTGTTTTAGGAACCAAGGTGCCGTCTCACCTTTCTGACTCAGGGTAAAAGCCTCAGGCTCTGTGACTTAATCCCCAGCACGCTTTGTTTTGCAGGAAGCAGCAGAGTGATAGATGTGTACTCACACCTGAGACGAACAGCCTGTACACTCAAAGAGATACTGAGATCAGGAGAACTTGCAGAAGCAGCAGAAACAGCCAGCTGTATGCACTTAGCCTTCTTTTCTCCATGAGAATGTAAATTTCCTGAGAACTGGATACTCTTTACCTTGTATGTGGGTACAACGCCAGCAACTCAAACAGTTCTCTGCAAATGCTATCAAATAAGTTAATGAGTGTAAACAACTTCAGCGGACTGGGAGAGAGCGGGCTGTTATCAGAGAGTCTGCCAGGTAACATTAGCTTTTTTTTTTTTTTTTGGCTTACCATTTGTTCATTTATCTCAGACCTTCCTTCTGCCCTTCTGCTGGATTTGAAGTATATCTTTCAGTCATTTCTACACTGAGAGTCTACTTAAGATAAACTCAGTTTTTGTTTCATAAGAATATTTCACTTCACCTCCATTCTTCAATGACTGTTACATAAGCATATGTCATTGTCTGGTTCCGTACTTGACGGTTGACTGTTGACCCCTCCCAGGCCCTACCGATTGCTTCTTCCCGCCGCACGTCTGGAGCACTAGTAAGAAAGCCTGCGTGCTCTCTCCTTTAGAGCCAACAGGAAGCTCAAATTGTGCAAATGTGGTCCACACGAGAGAACTTATGTCAAATCCAGCCCATAATCACCATAAACCCCAAGCCACTTGCCCCTCCCTGCTCTCAAGCCATGTTTGGACCTGCTAGGGAGCCGGCCCTGCTCTCCCTAGAAAGCCTCACTATGTGAGTAATAAAGCTTTTCCATATCACCTTGGTGTCTGTGCGACATTATTAATTTCAACGTCTGACCTAAATTTGGGGAGGTGGCAGATCCGTTCTGTCTTTGAGGAGTGACATGAAAATCAGTGCAGTGAGCAGGGTATCCAGGCAGTGCCTTCCGCCACGGGGGTATTCCTTCTCGTGCTAAATGGCACTGCTGTCTGCTGACTAACACAGCCTTTAGTGTGCTGCTGCCTGCCGGCAAGCTTGCACTTTGAACTGTGCTTCTTTGTGCTGTATTTGCTGAGTCCTCCTGAACCGAAGTTGAAAGTTTTGATAAGTGGCATCTAAGGACTGGTGTATGGGCTCAGGGTCCTCCGTAAAGTGACACTGGGTTGTGTGCTTAGCACAGATCAAACTGAATGTCTCAGATCGAATTGTCTGTCTTGATTCCAGCATAAGCCATGAGTGATGCTAGGATAAAGGGAAGGACTCTTACCTTGCGGCTTTTGGGTTTGTGTTTCCATCCAGATTGGTTCCCATCCTATACAGCTCTCGGGGGAAACACTGATGCTCTGTGCAATACACAGACCCACTGGGCGATCATTCACACGCAGGAAGAATACTTGCCATGTGGCATGTTGAGGTCCACGCTCCCACAAGCAGATGTCTCACCAGGTCACCAGGACCCTACAAAATGTCTTTGCCTCTGCTGTTATGTCTCAATCACAAAAAAAAAAAAAGTCCCAATAATCAGGGTTTTGGGGTAACACCTATGACAACCCTGTGGCACAGCCAAGTGTGTAATTCCACTATTACCATGGAGGAGAACCTTAACCCTGATGGTACTAACATGAAACTTGTAAGTATGAGTATGATGGATGGGTCCACCCCAAAGGATAACTACTAACCACAAAAACAAATAAATACATTAAAAAAGAGAAAACCTGGATATATAGTAGGTAAGGAAACAAAAAACTGACCCAAATGTCCATACATCAACCCAACTGGAAATCCAAATTTACTAAAAGAAATTATACAACAAAAAGCCAAAAGGATGTGATTGCTTTTTGTGTCTCTATAGTACAGGTTCTGAATTCATCTTATAATATTGACTTTCAGGGCCTTAATCAATATTGGGGCTCAAATTACAGTTCTACCTGGATATTCCACTAAATTTCAACACAACACCACCTGTAGTCTTAGGGGATTTATTGAACATAAAATAAAACACTAAGTGGTATGACACATCTTCACCACTGGAACTACTGCTTTGCTTAAATCTCCCATGGTTATATCATTCATTGGCCTAAAATACTCTATAATAGGCACAAATACTCTGACCCAATGATAATAAACTAAAATTAAGTCTTTGGTACTTACATTTGGCTGGATGAAAAGACCTGAGGGACATCCTCACCTCTCTGCCCCTGACTAAAATAGTTAAAATGCTCAATATGAGTTAAAATACAGCTTTCAAGGATTGAAATCTATTATACAAGCCCTATTTCTAGACAGAGTGATTATCACCATTGTTTTTCTATTTTAAAAAATCCAATTTGGTCTGTTTTTAACCTGGAAAGAATGAATAACACCTTACGACGGATGATTGCAGCTGTAATGCTGTGATCCAAACATTCAATATTATTGGAATTACTGACTCCATATGATCAGTAACTGATAAGCCCTTTTCAGTCATAGCTAAGTCTATTCTGTGCCTATTTCAACAGCCTCTCAGGCAGTTTGCCTTCATCTTCAAAGAGACATAATACACCTTTACCTGGCTAACTAGGCACCCTCCTTTGGTGGTGGCAGAAAGTTCAAACCATGTAAACCTGGGATTATGCAAGGAAACCCCACACCTCAGCCTCTAACTACACAACCATCATAAGTCAGTCACCTTTCCCTCCAATCTCAAGCCATTTTCAGAATGGCCCAGGAGTCTGCTTTCTTCATAAAGCCTCATTCTATGATTAATCAAAAATGTTCATACTCTTTTTAATGTGTATCAGTCATGCTATCTGGGCTAAATTATGTGGGGAGAGCCCATCCATCTCTGCAGTGTAAGTACAGCAACATGCATTTCTAGTTGATGGCTGTTTGGTTTCAGCATACTGAAAGCATTACTTCACTGCCTTATGAGTTTTAGTGTTGCTATTGATAATTCTGTTATTATTATAAGTTTATTCTTTCAGCGTTTTTTCCTTCTCTTTAGCTATTTTCAGAAGCTTTTTAAAAATTGGGTGTTCTGAAATTTCACTGTGGGGCGTCTAAGTGTAGACTGAATTATGTTTATCGTAACTACTGGTACTTCCTGGATCTGATAATTCATGTTCACATCAATTTTGGAAGAATTTCTCAATTATTATTTCACATTCCATTTCATCATATTGTCTTCTCCATTCCCTCTGTTCTCTTTTTCTGGACACCTTTGGAATACATGTTTGACTTTTTTATTTGATCCTCTGTTTCTTAAACTCTCCTCCATATTATCCTTTTATCTTTCTGTGCTACATTATAAGGATAATTTCCAGAGGTATATATTCCTGTTTCTTAATTCTCTCTTTAGCTAAATCTAATCTTTTGTTTGAATAGATTATAAGTTTTGTATTTTCAATGATTATATTTAAAAATTTTTATATGTTCTATTTCCTCCCCTTCAATAGCTGATATATCATTTTATTATTTTATCATGTTCTCACTGCCTTTTAAAATACTTATTTTAAACACAGTTATTTTACAGTATCTAGATTTCTTATGTGAAGATAGAATGTCTAATCCTATTTCCTCTATGTGATCACTATTGTTTATGATGACTATATTCCAATGTGAAATTCTTTATAAATTCTAAATTGTGATCTCAGTTTGAATAGAAATTTATCTATGAGAATCATATTCAGCATGTTGCAGGCCTATCTGTCCATAAATGTTTTGTGTTTGCTTATACATAGCATCCCAGCTCTGGTCTATGACACATAAATTTATTATTGTGTGGGGTCCTTGCTCACACTGGTAGAATAAATTTGAAAGCACCCCTGCCTAGAGAAAAGCATGAAGTTACAAAGTCTAAGTATGTAATTTTTTTCCTCATTAAAGGTTACATTTATACAGAAATGTGTAAGTGTCATTTTCCTATGCAAGTGGGCAGGATTTTAAAATTTATGCTGTATGGTTCTAGATTTATAAATGGGGTCTGAGTTATGATTCTCTCTTACTAGGGTTTCTAGGTGCTGCTGTTCATTTCCTCCACTCCTGGTTGCTGAAGCTAGGACCCCTCCCCCTAGCATCAAAGTGATGCTCCAGCTCACTGCACTGCTGGTCAATTTCCTATCTATTTTTGAACCATGGGTTTTCCCCTGACTTCCTTATGATCTGACCTAGGCATTAAAAAAGAACATGTGGTATTCTTTTTTATCTAAAATGTTCTAGATGTTTCATTGCTGTGAGACTTTTCAAGCTATCTAGCCTGTTTAGAAATGGAAGTCCTCAAAAAGCATACCTTCCCTTTGTTCTGGAATATGTACCCAGGGTGCTTTGAAACTGGACAGCACTGGAATGTGGAATACGTCAAACTGCACAGGTGTCGGGGTACATTTGGAGTAAATAAGAGAGTGGAATTTCTACACATTAGCTTATGCTCTTTACACCACCAATTTCTCTGATGCAAGATGGAGAGTATCTGTGTTGTGTTGGTATGCATACATTCTTATCCATAAATGCATATTTGTGTACATAAATGTATACATATATAGACGTGGATGTTTCACCTTGGAAACCACTGCTTTTCAGCCTCTGATTCTCTTATCCAGCTGTGTTTCTTAATTACTTCTCCTGAGGGTAGCACTCACCGTAGTTCCCAAATCAGTCTGGATTCAGAGTAGACAATGTTTATTTTCTCTCACAGCCCCAGTGCAATGTCATCTGATCACCCCAGCCCTAACCTCCATGCCCCATGTTTTGTGTGCTGCTAATTAGACTAAGGGCTCAATGCTCCTGTAACAACTACTGAGCTGCTGAGTTAATGCTTTTCCTCATGTGCCCAAGTTCTTCGGCTGAGTTCTTTATTAGTTTTCTGCACACTGCCTTGAAAATTCCTATTCTGAGATGGCTTAGTTCTGAATCTGAATCTGCTCTGTTTTATTCTGGCCAATATCTTGCCCTGGGCACAGAACACCTGCCCCAGTTGCAGGAATGATGATAGAGGTGCTACAACCATCATCAGACTTCCTGAAGACCTCTCAAGTACAGAGCATCCTGGACTCTTTACCTACATGATTTGCCTATTGACCTGGGGTCCTGGGTTTTCTCTTGGGAAACTGGTATGTTATGTTTTCTAAGTTTTCTATTCCAGCAATGTTCTTTAGATATCACGCCTTGCATAGCTCTTCCCTCTTCATGAGAGGTATCACAAATACTTACAACAAGTTTTCAGAAAAGTCATTATCAACTACTTGTAGTTTTATATATATACATATATATATACACACACACATATGTATGTATTCTCTTCAGTTTGTAAACAAAACACATAAATAGAAGGTAACTGCCCCAATATTCCTCTGGGCTAATAATTTTGGTATTTATTTGCAAGTTAGCCTTAGCTATTAGTCCTTAAAATAGAGATAAGACCTCCTTTGGCTCTGAATTTTAATTTTTATAACAATATAATAGATCATACTTTCCATAATTGTCCTTATTATGAGCTTTCAATGCCTATTCTTTCACTAATAAACTTAAAGGAACCCTGCAAACTCTACAATGAAAATTGGCCACATGAAACCTACAACCTCAACCACAGATATTCCCAGTATTTTAGTGATAGGACAGAAGCTTCACTTCAGTCCTCTAAGAGTGTGGTACAAGGTGAGAAGAAAAGGACGGGTAAGATTAGAGGGCGAGGGACTAGGACCAATCAGAGGAGGAAGATGGTGCCAGCGAGGGTTTTAAAGAGAATGAGGGGCGAGTGGTGAGAGAGCTGGGAGATGAGGACAAACCTGGGAGGACATGCAGGAGGAGCTATTCAAAGAAAGGGAAGACAGATCTGCAAAGGAAGGCCTAGAGGGAGCGGGAAACATTTTCAGTTACCGAGACAAAGGAACTGGGCAAGCGTGTCTTAAATGGCAAAAAAAAGCAAAGACCCTGCTGAGAACGGAGGCCCTCTTTGGCGGGGGCATGGTAGGGGGTTGGTCTTTGGAGTTTAAATTTGGTGGAGTCTTCTGGCAAACTTTGATTCAACTGAATCTTGTAAAATTTATTTCTGGAATTTAGAATTGGAAAGTTGGATGTAACAGAATATTTAAGTAAAGAAAAAAATATGTAAAATATACCAATAGCAAAAATACGAAGACAAGTCTTATATAACTTTCAAAACATTAATCTTTTTTTTTCCTCAGGAAATGATTATAATTCCATCCATAACCCTACGAAAGATTAATCTGAAATTTAAAAAACCTTCACATGCTCAAATTATTCTTAATAATCTGGAGATAGAATGTGTTTTGTGGGAGTCAGAAATGAAAATATAGAAAAGTATGCCACCAAGTAGAAAACCAGCTGAGGCCTATTTTTTTTTTTTAAGTCTTAATATCTACTGAGCTGCCCACATAAAAGAAACATGTATCTTAACATATTTGTCCTATTCAAACATATTAGTCATAGTCAATGCTTTTTAACATATCACTGTAGATACACTTCATAAATGTAATTTAGAAAAACTTTGCTAATTTCCACTTCCCTAATCTGCAAACCCCCAGTTCTCACAAAGAACCCCACAGCCTCACTTCCTTTCTCCACAAAGATTTAATAGCTGAGAGCTCTATCATGTTCTCATATTACTAAGACTTCATTATTTTCACATGCCACCCTACAGGACACTTACTAATATACTATTAAGTATTATCATAAATAATTAAAATGCAACCACGCTTGACAAAATGAAAGAACAAAGTGTATTCTGTGTTGCAGTCAACTTGTGTGTATGTTGGCGGGAGCCAACTGCAGCACATATTTTAAAAATAGAAAATCAATTACCAAGAGCAACCTCCGTCGGACTGCAATGGGCCTCCCTCTCATTAGTGTGAGTTAGTGAGGGCTTTTTCTGGCTCCTACCTGCCAATTAAATCATACAGTCATTATATCATTATCACCATTACATTGAAAAAAATAATTTGAGTACCAATAAAGCTTTCTTTCTGTGCCAGCCTTTTCCACATAGCCATGCTTTCCATTCCTAGTTGATTTGGACCTAGCACTTTTGACCACTCCCGCCCTTGCCCCCCACACGCCAAGGTAAGGATTTACTGTCCCATTAATTGGTCAACATGTATTTAGAAGCACGTAACATGTGGTCAGCACTGTGTAGACAACGTTCAGGATATATAAGGGTAAGTGACGGGCTTTACCTTCAAGGAGCTCACAGTATAATTTGGGAAATAAGATGACCTTGGGAAAAAACGAAAGAGTGGCCAGTATCAGAACACATATCATTAAGTTTTAAACTGTGTGGTCTTCTCTCCTAAAGCTACATGTAAATGCGATGCTGAATCCAGAAAAACTTCCCAGATTCCAGGAGCCTGGATTACGTGCCGGGCATATGTGCTCTGCTGGCACCCTGCGTTTACTCTGTAAAAAGTTGCCCGATTACCTAGTAATAATGGAATCCATGTACTGTAGCCTAGCTTCTCTCACCAGACCACATGCAGCTTAAGGACAGGGGCTGGGACTTGGTCACAGCACGGTGTCCCCTCCTGCGGAGTGCCAGGCAGGGAGTGTGATCAGGAGCCCAGGGCCAGGTGAGGCTGGGGGCTTTGGGGCTGAACATGGCCATGTTTCAGTTTGGCCTTCAACCTCGGAACAATGGAAAGCCAGTGAAGGCTTGAAGCAGGCAAAACGGCACGAGCAGTTTCAAGTTTTGAAAAGAGCCCTCCCTCCAAATTGAAAACGGAGAAAATGGATGCAGGGAGCTCAGATAATTCGAAATAAACATTTCGTTAAGTTGGGAGGGACAGCCAAAATTAACATGTGCTTTGTGGTGTGATTTACCCAAATTTGGGTAATAGCCAGGTTTTCTTGGCTAGTAACATGGAAGTGTGGTTACTGCTCTGTTGTTACAGATTAGCTCATTATTTCTGAAAGTAAACAATTTAAATTACATTACTATCACTTTTGATGATTGTTGATAGTCTAGGGTATATACTGTGTTAGAAGTTGGGGATGGCTGTTAAAGCAAATTAAAAGTAATACAGAAATACATTGAAACAGTTTTACCTATTGTCTTAGCAGGTGGCTCTGCTGAGATATTCCAAATGGAACATTTTGCTTTCTAAATCTATTATTAGTTGCTAATCTTGCTAGGTGTGCAGCCCAAATTGCTACATTTTTAAATAGCGATTTGTCATCCCCTTTGTCAGGGAATACAAAGTTGTCCAATCCATGTGCAAGAAAATGAAATTAGATGGAGATGTTAGGATTCCCATGGTAGATTGGGATTATCTGGGGTTCCTAGGAGATGTGGCCCTGCGTTGGGTGTGGAGCAAGGGACTAGCACGAAGGTTTCAGGGTTTGCAGCTAATTCTACCTGCTCTTAGCAGGAACAATGGTGTTCTCTTCATGTTACTCTCTCTGCTTGAAACCTTTCAACGGCTCTCCGTTGCTCTTTGGATCACTTCCAAAGCTTTAATAGGGTCTGCCAAGCCCCCGCATGGACTGGCTGCCTCCTACCAACCACTCCAGCTGCATTTCACACCTTTCTCTCCAGGTGTTCCGGTAAGTTCCTTAAGTGTGCCCTTCTTCCTTTGACAAAGGATGTGTGACCTCTTTCCACACTCCGCTTGGATTGCTCCCTACCCCATTCCCATCCCTGGCTCCAACTCTAGCTGTTTAATTGATTCCTACAGTTTCTTTAAATCTAAGTTCAATAATTACTTTTTCAAGCAAGCCTTCTCTGAGACCCTCTCACCACTACCTCCACCCCAGACGAGGTGAAACTGGTTCATTTTATGCCCACAGAGCACTCAGAATTATCCTTCACAGCAGTTACACTTGCCCCTTTACTTAATTTATTTACATCATTATTTTATTGATGCCTTTCTGTCAACAAACTGAGAGCTCTGTGGGATGGTAAGCATGTCTATTTTTGTGCAACATTACATCCCTAGGGTGATGTAAACCCGACACGTATTAGGTGCTCAAGAAATAGTTTGAATAAATAACTGAAAGAACGCATAACTCGAATAATAATGTGTTCCTTAATTCTCTTCCCTCTCTGTGATAGCCATTTGCTGGAACTGTGTTTTTCTCTGTATTTCACTTGGGGTCACCTACTCTCTTAAGTGCAGTTGAGATGCTCTCGACTCCCTATGTAGACTAGCAGGTGATAGGATGGTACCCACCATGGCAGAGGCTTAATTCCAGGAAGCCCCATATAAGCCCACAGGGAAACACTTCAGCTTCCCACTGTGCTTTCTTGCAGCTGAGAAGAGACAATAAAACAAAAATGCAAAAAGGCCAAGAGGCCCTAAAGAGATCTCGGGCGCACTAGACCTCTTAGCTCATTCTCTGCCATTTAAAAGGGCTACTCTGGACATTATGAGCCTATATTTTATTTTTCTAGATAAAAAGGTGAGGTTTAAAGGGAGCTGGCCTCAAATGAAAAATAGTGTCTGTACTAAAAACCATGGACAATAAGACCCTCATAAATTCACTTAAAGGTTCATCTGTCAGGCTTTTTCCAGTGGGATTTCTAGAAACATAAATAGCATGGGTGTTCTTTACATTGATGGAGAAGAAAGATTTGTTTTCTTCCTTTCCCGTAGTGCATATGTGAGACTCCTCACATCCTCGTAAAGACAAATGGTGGAAGGGTGAATCCAACCTTTGCCTAATTTTGTATTCCTGTTAAATTCACTCTCACTGTCCTCTGCATGGACGTGCCCAGTATGTCAGTGGGAGCAGAAAGATTGAGGGCAGAGGGTCCCTCGGGGATGGAGAAAGGCAACAGGTAATTGAGAAGCAGGGATGATTCAATGATGACCCGCCCCATTGATGGGTCTGGGGGCCAGAGTTCCTGCAAGGCCACTGGCTTCTGGTTGTCACAGACACAGCCCTGGAAGCCACGACCGCATGGTCACAGCGAGGGCAAAGAGGGACTGACTCCAGCAGCATCAGCTGTAGGAAAGCAAATGTGCTCTCAGGAGGCAAAGTGGTAGCGCCGGCCGGGGGTCTTCTGGGGCACTTGCTCCACGTCTCCTCTTTAAAGTTGCAATAAAATGGCAGAAAGTAGTTTTGAAGCCTCCTCTGAACAATTTTATTGTCTGTCCCCTTGGCCGCAGAAGGGTACAGTTGATAAACAGCGAAATAATCAACTTTTGTATATTTCATTTGAAAACTTTAAAATTTTAAATACTCACTTTATAGCCCTGATAAAGCATGCTGGGGACCCGGCGCTGGCCTCGCGGCTCTCCTCTGGTGGGTGGTTTTGAGATGCTTGGTTTAATAGCATGCTCAGGGACCGTCCCTGGCCTGGATTCCACCCTCAGCCCATGACTCACTGATTGGAGACAGTTACTGCTCCTGGGAAGCAGCAGTTCCACATATTTCCAGGGAAGAGGCTGGGCCCAGGATAGAAGTGGAATCTAGACTTTCAGTGTCAAAGGGAGGAGTAAATCATGCTTATCGGCAAAGAACCACACAGATGCAAGCGGATCCCAAACTGGGGATGGGAGGAACCCAACAATGTAATTCTTTAACACTCTGGAATACTCATGTATATTTCTGAAGATAGTGATTGGGTCTTATTCGTCTGTTTTCCCAATGTTTTGTGTAGTGTTTGGCACATAGCAGGGGCTCAATAAATATTTATTTGATGAATAAGTAATTGAATGAAAAAGCAAAGTGGACAAACCTTGAATGGGACTGCCCTCCATATCAGTCTCCTGGAATTCATGTCAGGGAGCCTCACTAACAAGACTTAAGCAACAGAAATGTCTTGTCTCAGTTCTAGAAGCTGTAAATCTGAGACTGAAGTGCCAGCGGATTCGTGCTTCCTCTGAAGGCACTGGGGAAGGATCTGGCTCAGGCTTCCCTCTTGGCTTCTGGTAGTCCCTTGGTTATTGACAGTGTAACCCCAGTTTTTACGTGGCATTCTCCCTGTGTGTGTAGATGTCAGATTCCAAATTTCTTCTCTCTACGAGGACACCAGCCATATTGGATTTGGGGCCCACCCTACACCAGCACAACCTCATCTTAATTTAACAAATTACATCCATGGTGACACTGCCTCTAAATGAGGTCACCTTCTAAGGCACTGGAGGTCAGGGCTTCAACATATGAATTGGGGTGGGGGGGCACAATTCAATGTATAATGCCTTCTTCCCTGTATACTTCAAAGTGGAATTTTATTATAAAAATATTCCAAAAGCACACATTTGATAGGTACTTTCTTAGATGTCAAGAGATATGGGTTCTGGACTCAGCTCAGCCATTAACCCCTATGTGAACATAACCAGGAATTTCATTCGGGTTAATGAGGAGGCTAGGATGTTTGATCCTAAAGGCACTTTGTAGCTCAAAGTTTGTATTATTTTCTTGGCCCGTCATTTGAAACACACCTGTTATATGGCCTTTCCTAGTGCTTGCTGCTCGCTGCTCCACATTTAGATTAGGTGTTCAGAATTCTATGGTAATTGGGTCCAGCAATGTTTCTTTAAAGAATTCAAGACCTCGTCTTCCTGCTTCAGAGGCCAATGTCCTGAACTCATAAAGTCAGGAACCATGTCTGCCTCTCTTACAGCTGAGTTTCAAAAGCTAACATAGTGCCAGGAACTCACTGCTCAATAATAGTAAACACTCAATAAATATGTGTTGAATAAATACTGAATGAATGAATGTACTTATTTCAAAATTATTTCCATAAATTTGTCAGCTATGTTCAACTCCATGTATGTTTAAATCTTTTTTCCCCACTCTTCACATTTCCCTGTAACTACCAATTCCAATGTAACTTAGAGCTCAAAAATCTCATGTTTAATGTCCGTAAATCAGTGGTTGTCTATAGATGAGATAATTTCAAGGTATCTAAGGGATTTTAGGGAATATTTGGGGCATTGTGAAGAAATCAAGACATAGGAAGCATAGCCATTGTATAAAAACTGCCAAGAAATGACGTTTATAAATATCCTTCAGTGCAATCTGGCAGAGGAAATTAGCACCTCTCTATGGGCTTTTCTTAATAAATCTCACAGTCTCTATTTCTGTATATATTTTAGATTATTTGTAATAGGAGAGCCATACATATAAGAAATAAAGAGCATAGTCGAAGGTTGAGAATAAAGGAAGTATTAATTTCTGTGTTACCTGGATGTCTGGGCACAATGGATCATGGTTGGTCCTCATGGGACATGCATGTACAGGGTCAAGAACAGTGCTCTGTGAATAGTAAAATTTATAAACATTTTGTTATTATTATTATTTAAGGTCCCAAAGACAGTTGGTCTGTTATATCATTTTCGGGGCTATTTCTTTATTTTCAGAGCTTGAGATTTAAACTCATCCTAGCAAAAATGGAGAAAGAGATGTTTTGGGATTTTGTTTGTTTGTTTTGGGTTTTTCTGTTTTGTTTTGTTTTGGGGGTAATTAAGTTTATTAATTTATTTATTTGTTCATAAAAATTTATTTATTTTTCTGTTAGAGGTGCTGGGGATTGAACTCAGGACCTCATGCACACTAGGCATGTGTTCTACCACTGAGCCATACCCCACCCCGGTGTGCTAATTTTGCAGCTACTGTGTCACATGTGTCGAAGTCAAGAGGCCTCAGTACTGTCTCACCAAGCCCACCACCAACAATGGAGACTTTCAGAGGACGATGTAACCCGCTAAGAGCAATAACAAGCAAAATTTATAAAGTAACCTAATTCTGAAAGCATTTTAATTATTGGAGGGAGATTTTTAAGTTGGAGAGTAGAACCCAAGGAGTATTTCATTCCTCCTTCTGTTTCCACCTCAGCTAAGTAGTGCCTTGCTAGTCAAACAGCAGTAAGCCATCAACCTGGGATGGGGGAACTGCTTGAAAAACTCTACAGGGTACAGAGGTGCCTTCATCTTCCCGAAAGTAAATGGAACAGGATGCTGCCAATGACAACGTTAGAAAATTATATCTCGTTTAATTTTTCTCCTACACCCTGGTTTCATTTATGAGCCTGCTCAGTTCTCCGGGGCTGCAGTCAAAATCGGGCAAGCCTCTCTGCCAAAGAAGAAAAGGTTTCCATTTGACAGAAATACTGTTCAGAGTGATTGATTTAAAAGTGCTGAACTCATATTCGGAGTCTGAGATCCAGGAACCGCCGGCTGGGCTGGGATTCAAAATTACAAGGATGGAGTGAGTTTCCGAGTTGTGGTGCATTAAGCAGTGGGGGCAATTGCTTTTCTCACCTATCTCACAAGGGATGGAGGAAGGGAAACGTTTAAGAATTAAGAAAAGAAATCTTAGGGCTGTCCAGTTACTGCATCTTGCTCGGCTAGAGACAGGATTACAGTCTGCATTTAGTAGGGAAAGTTTGGGGAGGAGTTTAATATGTCTTTTGGTAACTATGAATTGTTCGAGAGGAGAGTTGGAGAAGACAAAATAAATAACAGAGGAAGAAAACCATACAGACCAGGCACTTTACTACGGCTGGACCTACTAAAAATGTGGGTGCTGAGCATACTGGACCTATTTAAAACAAACAAAGCATTTCCAGGGTGTGAACTAAAAGGAGCTGGTCTACTGGAAAAAATACCTTTTGAATATTCTACAAGAAACAATAAGCGGGAGCAATGGTCCTAGGAGATTAAGACATATGATGTTAACTTACTCTTCATTTGTGTACTGTGGTTTTCAACAGATGGATTTATCAGGGGTTTGTGGTCGCTTTTTTTTCCCCCTTATGGATGCCGAGCTATTTCCTTGCATGCCATTTTAAATAAAAATATTTTTGAAGGGGCCACAATGTTAAGGGAGATGTATAAATAAGACAAGGGCTATTTACAGTGTCTAAAAAGAATGTCTTTATCCTGTAAATCGCAGCACAACTGCTTACGCAGGGAATGAGAGAACTCCACGCTGGAGCTGCAACCTTCCATCAAGTCACGGAGTGTAAATCTGGGCAATAAATGATCAGAAGGTACTGTCCTGTGTAACTTGTACAATGTTCATAAACTAAATTGATAAACAAATAAATATTCTCCGATGGATGAGCAGGCAAAAATATAATCTCACCAAAATGCCTTCCTCTTCTGTTGGGGAGAATGGCAAGGAAGTGACATCTCTTTGAACAGTGTGCTTGGTCTCAAGGAGATTAATGTTTGGAAAGTAATCTTAGTGCTTGATCTGAGAGCCTTGACATCGGCCAAACCCCTGTGGCTGTTAGTGGGGGATCTGTCTGCAGCGAAGATGCAGGATCAAGCTAGTCTCTCACCTTCTGGTCCCAAAGCCGCCAACCCACTTGAAATTCTCAGAGACCTAAGTATTGATTTGTATCCACAGACAGAGGTGCGTGGGCCTTCATTCTGAGTAGAAGTAACCCCACAAGCTCAAAAATCTGTAAAGAGAGAGATGACTTTCCTTAAAGAACTGCTCGAAGAATAAAAATGCCAGCTGCCCGTCCTCTAAGTTTGGGTGGGAGAGCATACAGGTGCTCTGAGCCAGCTTTGTTGAGCTGGCTTCACAATGGACACCCATCCCGGGATGCCCCTTGCTTGGGTGGGCACATGGATGGATCCGTAGTCTGCGACATGAAGTCTCAATTCAGTGGTGTGGCCTTCAAGGTCCTGATTAATATGACTGTGTTTCTCATTCATGATTGTGTCCCAGCAATTCCAAAGGGAAGTGTGTCTACTTTTCCCTTGCTGTCTGTGCCGTCTCTGGCTCTTGGGACTTTTGCTCTCGTTTTCCTCCCCGAAGTTGTGTGCATGCAGCTTCTCCCTTGGCCTGACCGTCAGCATCCTCTGCGAGAACACATCCCCAGTCCCTCCTACAGGGCACACATGGAGCCCCCATTTCTCGGTGAAGCTTTCCCAATTTTTCCATCTCAGGATGATTTCTCCATTCTTTAAATTTTTTGGTTTTTAGAACTTGACAGCACTGAATACATTCTCTTGTAAGCTTTTGATTTCTGCTCATATTACCTTCCAAAGTCCTTCTAAGCTTTTTGAGGTCCTCTATAAGGCCATTGCATTTCTTGTGATATTTAAAGTAGGCAGTTTGAGATAGTGCAACCTAAAATATTAATAACTCTTTGCTTTATGCACAAAATTTGAACTAATGATTTAAAATTTAATTTATAATTTTAAAAAGTCATCAAGACTCTTACAACTCCAAAGTTGTAGTCTCATAAAAACATCTCTTTAGCTGCTAAACTGGAATCTCTCCTGCTCTTGTCAGTATCACCTGAGCCGTGCTCCTGTTTATCTGAAATACTTTTTGTAAGTCACTTGGTAACTATTTTATGGTTATTTTAATTTCAATATAATTATCATTTTAAAATTACAATCTGTTAAAAGTGAATTGAGTCATCTGTCAGCATTAATGCCAATAATTAGTACTAAAGAAATGAGCCCCAAATAAATACCTTTGAATTGGAAGTTAGATTTGATAAAGATATCAAGAAAGCCAAACAGCCCACACGATATACTGTGAATCATTCCAGACAAAGTTTTCTGTGGAATTTTGGAGACAGTATTGTGAACAACAACAAACATTAAAATAAATACATTTTAGATTTTTCAAAAACTACAATAATCCAGTTAAGAATGATTTTAAAATGAAAAAATAAATAAATCAAACCCCATCTGGTGTGACTGTAATATCAATACCCTTAACCTGTCCCAAAGCTACAAAAATCAGAGACTGAATGAATTCTGGCTTCCCATCCCCCTACTTTGTATTTTTTGTATTAATTATGTGAATTTTGAGTTCTAAGAATCAAATACACCTTTCCTTTGTTATGTTGTTCCTTATAGCATAAGATTACCAGTCAAAATATAGGATGCCCAGTTAAATTTAAGTTTCAGATAAACAATGAAGAAATAGTTAGTATCAGTTTTCCCTAAATATTGCGTGAGACCTACTTATACTTAAAAATATTCATTGTTGATCTAAACTTTGATTTTAACTGGGTGTCCTCTATTTTAGAAACTAGTTGGATGTTTCATAATAATTAAAACACAGTTGCATGTGTGTGTGTACAAAAACCCAATTTGAAAGATACTTAATTATGAGTCATCTGATACAATCTTTCACCACCACTAACCTGGGCACTTAGTAGACACACATCTTCTTCCCAAAGCCCTTCATGAATCTTCCAGCTAGAGTCACTCTCTCTCTCATCTGTGGTCCAAATGCATTGTGTGCTTCTTCCTGGGCACTAATTCATACTGTCAACAAATATTTACCGAGTACCTCCTAAGAGCTGGCCACTGTTCTAGGCTTGGGAGACTAGTAATGAACAAAAGAGACAAAGACCCTGCTTTCATGGAGCTTACATTCAAGGGGCAGAAGCAGAGAAATGGCCTAAACATTACACAGTTTATCTGGAGGTGATAAATAATCTAAAGACAAATAGAGCAGGACAAAGAAGATGGAGGGTGGCAGGAGGGGAGTGGAGCACTCCTGCAGAAGGAGGTCAGAGAAGGCCACTCGGACAGTCACATTTTAACAGACACTTGAGAAGGTGGGAGTGTGAGTCACATAGATAACTGGGGTAAGAGAAGACAAGCAAAGGATGCTCAGAGATGGCAGAGCACAGAGCATGTTGGTTGTGCTCTGTGAGTGGCGAGAAAGCCAGTGGGCCCAGGATGGAGAGAGCAAGTGGGGAGGAAGGGAGAAGAGAGCACAGAGCCAGCCTGGGGCTGCGTGCAAGTGACCTCTGGGCAGATCATACCTGGAATGCAAAACAACAAACCCCTTTAGGGCAAGGACCATGAACAGGGGAATGTGGGCAATGTCGTTTGTATGTGAGAGGGTTGTGGCCAGGACATGTCTCTGTGGATTTGGCAGGAGAAAGGGCTGGGAGCTTCCTCTCTCTCACTGCTCCACTTGGTTTCCTCCTGAAGATGAAAGCTGGGATGATGAGTAGGCTCCCAGCATCTAGGAGAGATGCCCATCGGTGGCAGCCCACTCAGCCGGCACATTTCTGGCTAGAAGAGCCAGGGGGATTCCTACTCCCTGTCACCGGTAGACCTTATGTCTTTAATGGCACCCAGAGCTCTGCCTACAACATAATAAGCTAGAAATAAATGTTTGCTAAACTGAGTTCCTGAGCCACTCAATCCATCCCTTTACCTCCATCCATTGGGATGAGGCGATTTGGTAACTGCAAAAGCCTCATCAATTCAGTGGGGATGGAAGTCCCCTAATGTGCCCCCTTTCACGTGGTATCATTTGTTGACCTGCTCTTCTCCCAGATGCGACATGTTCCCCAAAGATTCTTCCAGGTTTTTAATTCACGTTGCATCAAGAGGTCATCATGGATGGCCACTAGTAGTGTTTTCTTTCAACCAGTTCCTTTCTTCCCGCAGTGTCATCATCACTACAGGCGATGCTACTGTTAATAGACAACCCCATCGTGTTCATTTGTTCTGGTACCAACAGGCACATTCTGAACACAGAAACAAATAGTAACATTTGGGCCCCATCTGGTATTTATTCTGTGCATGGCTGTAAAAGCCAAGTCTTGAAAGCCCTTAGCAAGGTAACTGTCCTTGACCCATTGGTGATCTTTCTTTTTTTCCCTCTGTCTTTTAAGACACATTCAGTCTCCAAGTTCTTTTGTGCAATTTCCAATCTCCTAACCTTTGAGCTGGATGATCTTTAGAGTAATTCTATAACTTTCCCCTGTTGACCCATTCACTCTGAAACTGAAACTTTTTTCAATTTCTCCCTTCCCTAGGATTCTCTTTGCTCTGTATAATGTGGGAGCTCAGTAAATATGGATTCCCTGACAAGTCTGCATGCGTCACACCGCCGGACTTCCTTTACTTAAAATTTCCTCCAGCACCATCTTCTTGCAGACACCTATTTTGAAGAACTACCTCTCTAAAGCCGCCATCATGAACACACTTATTCACATTTGGCAAATATGCTCAAGTCACAAACAAGGAGATGAGGTGGAGCAGAGTGATGACACAGTCAGTCATCAGAAAATGCTCTATTAAGTGAGGCCAGGCAATGTCCCATTCCACTCTGAATTCACACGATGAGTCACAAAATCTTGCCTTCCTAAAGGGCTCCTAGTCTCTCCCACATGAGAGATATTTAGCAGATACACTTTTAAAAAGCCACCATGTCTATAATCCACAAAGCTCTTTCTTTTTCGGTAACATTAGTAAAAGAAAAACACATTTATTCCCCTTGCTAAGCTCAAAACAACACGCAAAGCCCGCCCTGCCCTGCCTCTCTTTCTCTTCCAGCCAGATTACAGTCTTACTGTGACTCTGAAACAAAATTACGATGAACAGTCACCTTCAAGGACAAATGGAGAGGGCCAGGCTGGGGTCTGGGGGAGCTCCCAACTGTTCCCCAGAGACCAGTCTTTTCACTTCTGGAAACAGTCTTCAGATGTACTTGCTCTTCTGTCCCACGTGGATGCTCCCCCAAACCACTCTGTGGCTCTCCTCCCTACTGTGTTTCTTCCCGAATCCTACCATGGCAATCTGGGCACGCATCCAACGGCCGTAAACGGAATCCTCTTCACAGGGCCCAGCCTCAGCACCGCACAACAGCAGCTGAACACTGCCTTCGCTGCCCCTCCTCCCAGCGTCAGCACACACAGTATCAGTACGCGGTTTCTTTCATCCTCCCGACACTGGGAGGTGTTTATATTTGCGGGGGACTTTTAAACAATTCCAGCCAGTGGGCTTTGCCATCGGGCTAGGCCCCAGGCGGAGAGCAGCCTCGGCTGGAACCAGGAACTGAAAGTGTTCTTGGTCAAGTTCTGTATCTGCCCAAGTCGAGCTGTCTAACCCAGTGCCTGACCTTCTCTAAAGAGGTCGTCCTCAGAATCAGGGGGCACTTTGATAAGCTGGAATATACTAATTTATTGGCCATTTAAAAAAGAGGAAGTTTTGTTATGGATTACTCTGCTTTCTCGAAAACTTTTTTTTATAATTAAAAACATCTGGAAGGCATTTTAATATATCATAAACAAGAGGAAATCCAAAGCACGTGACTTCTAAGAAAATGATGCAAATAGAATCCCTCGCCAAAATTTACTGTGATCTAGCTTTTCTTTTTTTCCGGGGTGGGGGTTTGGAGGTGGGGGAATTCAAAAAAGGAGGGCAAATGAGAACAGCATCGAGAATTCTGCAGAGAAAACAGTTATTTCAAAATTAGTCTACTGCTATTTTTGGCCACTGTTAGAAGACATTACACATTGGCAGAGTCTCTGAAATATATTTGGTTTCTTCTTAAAAATTAGTCATTTTACTGGTAAATTTCTTTCTGAAATAGACAAATAATTACATAAACACAAGCTAAATTAGGAGGGGGTAGTAAGAAGTCAAACCAGAAAGGAGACATCTTCCAGAGTAAATTTAGAGAAAGAGCAAGCTGTTCTTAGTATTTGATGCTTCCCCTCCGTATCCGTCTTTTATTTGGATAATAGCATAATAGGGTTACATGCATTTCTAACAGATAGCACCCAAAACTGATGCCTGCATACAACATTGCAAGTGTTTCTCAGTTTGTCTTTCATCAAACAGGGCATACGCTAGCTTACTTTAAAATGATGTATCTGGAGAACTTTCTTCTTCATTTAAGCATGGAGATAAATGGAAAATAATCATCAATCTCAAGAATTGAGTCCTCTTAATATTGTGGGAAGCATGTGTGTGCACACTCACACACACACACACACACACACACACCCCTTCATGAAACAAACCCATCAGTAACAATGTGGCCAGTGGTTACCATATCTAGCTTCCAATTCTTGGGCGTAAACTTGATAATTTCAGCAAAATAACTTTGTTTGGTGTAGAGTATGTTTGTAAGTATTTAAGTAGTTTACAAAAATTCATCCAACTGCTGTAAATGTGTAATTACAAAAAGTAAGTGAAGAATAACTGGTATTTTAAAAGATGCAGGGAACTCTTATTTTCCTGGAGAAATTCCACATTTGGTATTTTGGAAAAGCATGTGGACTAAAGGAAGACAAACCTCTGTTCAAATTGTAGCTTTGCTCTTTGTAGCAGTGTCTTCTCTGAATTTCAAGCTCTTCACCTCTAAAAGAGAAAAAATATTATCCATATTGTCTAAGAATTAAATGAGATAATACGTATGTAACAGCATCTGAGCCAGCCTCTGCAGTATAATAGAATGCCGAGTGATAGTCATTGTTGTTGTTATTGCTATTAATTGTATTATTATGCAAATATCTCCATTAGAAAACAGCCAGTGGTGAGGCTTTTTGTTTATTTACCATTCTCCTTTTTGAGGGAAGAGCACTGTTCTGTTTCGCTTCTTTCTGCTTGAGAAATTGATCAACTGATTGAAAGTTAACTCATCCCTTCATCACATCTTGCAAGGTGGGCGCGGGCTCTGCCCCCACCCCTGCAGGCACCGAGGCAGGCAGCTTGGAAGTCTTGCTTCCTAACAATAAAAGAGCTCTAGGTCTGTGTGAAAAGCTTCCATGCATCTAGAACCAGACCTTTTGTGAGATATGCTGAAGATAAGAAATGAGACGATAAGCTTCCTGCTCCGCCAAATGTGCCCACAGTTGCCTTTGTCCTTGCAAGCTTAGGTAGAGGTAACGACTGGCTAACTGAGCAGGTCATCAGTGCTGACTGTGGGAGTTGGGGGGTGGCTCAGAAGTCAACGTACACTGTAATGCAATGCGGAAGATTGGGAAAAAATCCATAAAAATCAGTATTTAGGGTTCTATTTACAAATATCTGGAAGAAAAAGACTTGCCCACAGAAAAACGTTATGAATTAATTAAGTCCTTCACGGAGCGCGTAAGCTCTGTTAGGAAGTTTACATTTTCCAAATATCTGGAGCTAGCTCTGCTGGGCTTGGGAGTGGGGGTCAAGATGTTCAAAGAAGCTGGACACTGAAACCAGAGCGATGTGGTTCTGTATTCCAACTCTAATTTTCCAACATGAAGTATTGAGCCAGTTACATAACCTTCCTCAGTTTTGATTTCCTCCCCTGCAAGATAGCAATGATGTGTCTTCAGAGCTGCTGTAAGGATTAATGTTAATTTATATTAAGAGCTTAGCATACAAGTAGTAATCAATAAATGATGTCTGTTATCACTGGCCATTGTTAATATCATCATTAAGAAGTTCAAAGGACTTGTTTAACTTACAATCACTTTCTCTGCAATGAAAACATAATTCATATCATTTATAAATTTATCCAGGTTTCTTCTGTATTGGTGTGAACATTAGCTAGTGTTTGGCCATTGGCCGTGATTGTGTTGGAAGTTCTGATTATTTACTATTTTCCAAAAAAAATTATTTTGAAAAGGTAGAGTGCAGCTTTTTCAAGATGATAGTCAGTGTTCTGTAAAATTTATGTTAAGCTAATGTGAAAAAAATCATTTAAAACCCGTATCTAAAGTAGATGATGGTGGATTGTATTTATTGCTCTTCTGACTCCTATGTCCTTAACAGGAGCACAAAGCAACAACCTGAATAACACTCAACTACAGATTAGGTGAGAAAGAACAGATTTTTATTACAAAGGAAATTACAAGGTGAATTTGCATTGACTAGTTTAAACCACAGTCTACCAACAACACCAATCTGAGAAAATATTACACAGAGACAGAAATGGAAGGGACTGGGCTAAGACAATGCTTTTTCTTTTTACATTTGTATTTCAGGATCATGATATCTTAAAATAGATTGTTAGATGGGTTCATGGTTCTTATTACTTCATTTTAACACTAAATAGCGGGAAAAAAAAAGTTCATGGAATCTACACTTTGAAACAGGCTTTTATAAGCCCAGATGCAATCCTTGTTAGTCACACAAGAGGCATGAAGAACGTTAAAAAAAAAAAAAAGCCTTCCATGAGAGAAGTATGTTTAATAGGACCAGGGATTTTATCACAAATATTGCTATGAGGAGTATGGTATAAAAAAATTATAACAATCAACTGCAGATAAAATACTATTATTACAAAAACGTACGTTGTACTGAGATAAAGATATAGAGAAACAAAGTAATACGCACTGGTGTACATAGCGAGCACACTGATAGCCGGGGTACCAAATTTGTTTGTGTCTGACACATTATGTATTACCTGCATAGGATTCAGAAATGTCTTTTTCTCATTTTGGATCTTGGCCTATGGTGATATTCTGCACGTCGCAATATCTACTCATATGGTTTACCAATTTGTATTGTCAACCAGTCCGTGTACATACATTTTGAAGACATATTTAGCTTTTACTAGTGGAGCCATTTCTAGATCAGAGAGTGAAACAAAAGGGAAAATCTCTCAGTTTACTGTCAAGAAATAAACAAACAAAACAAAACCAAAAATGAACAAAGAACTCCCCAGAATTAGAACAAAGTAAATATATTTAGAACAAGATAAAGGGCACAATCATCATTAACTCTAACCTTATGCACTTAAGGGTGTCAGCTATCATCCAACAGCTAAAAAGGGCAAAAAAATATTCAGAGACATTCCTCGCACTGCCCACATTAAAGTGTTACTGCGTAAGAGGTCATCAGTAAATTTTAAAGCAGTGCCCGATCACTCTTGTCTGTGCTCAGTTACTGATGCTGTCTGCCCAGCTATCATCAAACTCTGTAAATAAATAAGCCACTAACACCCTTGGGGAGAAGTCCATAATCTATAACACAGTGATTCTAGCTTGGGGGAAGAAACAAAAAGCAAAAACTTCAGAAAATAAACTTTTGCCCACTAATATTAGGAACTATATTCATCCTTCTCCTTATGGTGTCAAAAAAATACAGGGAGCGTGATTTATTAATTTAGCAGAATAATGTTGACCCAGACTGGGTACTGTTGTTACTCAGGAGAATAAAACGGCCTCTAACCTCATAGGGCTTATAGTCCAGTATATTAACCTTTAATATCCCTAATGTTCTTTTTCTTTTTATATCCAGGGAAAATGGATATTAACCAAACAATCATCCAACCATATAAACTCTGCCTAGAATGTAAAGAGCAAAGGTGTGCGTGGTAGGAGATAATGTTGGACAGGTAGGAAGTTTGAAGTCTTGGAGATAAACCTCATTTCATTAGTTGTCCTCTATTTCCCAATGAGTAATATTACAAATGAGATAAAATTTCTGATTTCTTCCTGCACTATAACATGTTATGAAAAATGAGAAAATACTAGATGATCTTTGAGAGAAAACGTGCCCTGTAAATCCTGGGCGTTCTCATCTGTATCACTTTACTCAGCATATTTTGGTTGTATGTCCGTTACACTCAAGAAGAAACGCATCACGGTCCTGCTCACTTAAGAAACAGAATACAGTACATTCAGTAGAAAGAGTAATAAAAGGCAGAGGATGATAGTGATAATGGGACTGTAGAAGTAAAATGCTCTGAGCCTGGGCTCTCAGAGGATGGAAAAATCTTTTGACTGGAGAAGTAGTCACTGGGGTGAACCTTGATATGTAGATAAGATTTAGGTGTGTGGAAATGGCAAAGGGGGGCTCCAGGTGGAAAAAGTAGGCACTGAATCAAAAAGGGCCCTGCATTTGGTCAGTTAGACAAGCCATTCTCCAGATCTCCCCAGGTACTGATGATCCAGGCCTAAGCCGGGAGACTGGGATCCTGAGGTGTGACAGGAGCACCAAGGGAGGATGGGCTTGAATCAGATTTGGGGTCAGATTACGGCTGATAGTGACTGAAAATTAATGACTCCTAACTTTGCTAAGTAAAGACAATCGTTGAACTTTTG